AGAAGGCTGAGAAAATGAATAAAGATCACAACATGGAGATAAACCACCAGCTTGAGTAGTACTATCTAAGCATATAGAAATAAATAAAACGAACATTAAATCACCAAAGAGAAGAGAAACTTGTTGTTCAGACATCTGTTGTGTTTTTCTATTTGATAATCTCACTTGTTTTCTCGCCATAACCTAGTAGGTCTCGCTTCGTCCTCGTTGCTAACCATAATCACTTTTTGAGTTCAGTCAAGTTTTTCGTCCTAAAAGATTGATGCATCGGAGCTAGGGTTTTTCTATTTAACAGAGTGACGTCACTGAGTTGAGAAAGGAGGCGTTGTCTCGCCTAAAATTGCTTATATTTGCTTGTATCACTCAATTAATACATGCATACCTCAATCAAAGTTTAATTGAGTTTTTTAAAGGTCCATTTGATTCACAATCAAAATGGAATTGGAAACGGAATCGAAATCCTCCGAAATTGGAATTAGAATGGTTCATTCCCATAGTCTGTTTGGTTCAGACAGAAATGAGAATGAGAATTGAAATCAGCTGGAATAGGATTTCATTTCCAAGGAAGGGTAGGGAATGGCCATTCCCTCAAATGGGGGAATACCATTCCATCATGAATGAGAATGGGATTCCAATTCCACCCAACTAAACAGTTGGACACATTCCGATTCTGATTCTATACCCCTATTCCTTCACTGTCACTGTCGAGTGCCGGTCAAGCACTTTAATTACTTTTTTTATAATTAAAATTTAAAATAAGCACTAAACACTAGATCAAACAACTTAAGTTTCGGGCCAACTAGGTGGTGAGTCCTACCTTTGAAAGCAATTAGAAATTGTTATCTCATTAGTCTACTTGACATCAAGTTTTTTAATACCCAAAACTATCCTCCATTCAAAAATAGATGGATTAGAAATTTAGGATTTTGAGATTTATTGACATATTCCAAAGGAAATAAATTTAGCTTTTTAATCTATATTATTATATGTATTCAATGCCTTCTTTTGCAGCAATGGTGAATTGGTGACTTTCTTTTACTTCAATTAATGTGGAAATGGGTGTTTGTGTCATTTTTCAAATAACCATTTTTGAATATTCAAGCAACCCGATGAAGGAGTTTAAATCAGCCCCCCACAACATCCTACAGTACATCTTCGTCGTGTATTTGCAATATCTCCTGATGATAATACCAAAAATGATAAGATATCATCGGGAGATGTTCCCAATACATGGCGGGTATATGCTATGGGACGTTGTGAGAAATTATCTTGTGGGGGGCTGATTTCAACTCCTAATGAAGTGGTGCCATTTTTTTTTATGTTGATGACGTCTAAGGTCACCAATTACAATGAAGAGTAGGAAGAACACCTCAAAGCTTAATCTGCAACAAAGAGGAAAAGTCTTAGGTCACGGGGTGATACGTTGGGCTGGACACTTCGACAAGTAAGTCAATAACCAGAAGAAGAACGGCCATCTATTATGCCAAAAAGACATCGTACCGGAAAGACATCTTGTGAATTTTGGTGAAATCCACCCGATTGATTTCTAATTTTTTGATGACAATTGATTGGTTCTAAGTTTTTCTTGGTATCAAGTTTTTTCCACATCATAGTTTTTTTTTCGATATCATAATTGAACTCATATAATTTTTTTGGCAACTTTTTTTAAGATGAATTTCTAATTTGGGGGTTCAAAAGGGGTTCTTTTGTTCATCTCCCCATCCATTATTCATGGGAAAACTATTTAGCAAAAAACTCTTTGCCAAATGCTCAAAACAGAGTTCCTTTTACGTAAGATTGTAATTAGGTTCTAGGTTTTTAAAACCGATCCAGAGAATGAATCAGTCAGGGGTCTGGTTCCCGGGTCGAATGGTTGGCCCGTTTTGACAAAAAAATAAAAAAATGGTCAAAACCATTGAATGCTTCGAATTGTTCAACCGCCCAGGTCAGCGATTTGCTAACCAAATCAACGTTTTTTTTTTTTTGCAAATATCCAATTTTGGGAAAACGAAACTGATCACCTGACCAGTTCCTAGTTTTTCTGGTCCGACCATCTAGTCCGGTTCGATTTTGAAAACCATGATTAGGTTAATCCAACCACATCCGAATCCAATCTAGTTATTGAAACTTAAAATATGAATCTGATCTGAAATTCAATACATCAAACTTGGATCAAATTCATATTTAAGTTAAATCTACCCTATTGTATCTAAAAGAAAAAAATGAAAATTTAAAAGTTATTTTTTTTAACTTATAAATAAATTTATATAAATATAAATATTGAATTTATTAATTATGAAATTTATGTAATTTAATTATATATGATATCTATATGTACATAATTATGTTACATATATATAGTATATTTCAGGCCCCATTCGTTTTTCAAGAGGCCACTTACCTAGGTAAATGTTTCATGGGGAACATTTATTCGGATAAATTCACTTACCCATGTTCTTTTGATTCCTAGGTAAGTTATACAACGGATTTTTTACCATAAAAAACCATTGTTAGAATGAGAAAATGTGTCCCATTTTATGTTTTGTAAATTTTCCCTTACTCACCTGAGAGATGGGTAGAACTTACCTAGGGAAAATAACTTTATTGTGGGATCCAAAACTTATCAAAAAAAGAACACAGGAAAGTTGATCAACGGCCTGCTCACCAACTTTCCCCCTCCTATTTCCCTAAAAACAAATGGGCCTTTTATGAGACTTGGATCTTAGGCCCCATTAGGGATTGTAAATTGGCAATGGGGTGGGTTCGGGAAAGGTTTTGTAAATTCTAGACCCTATCTCTGTCCCTAAACCTCCCAACCTAGACCTACTCCAAAACCTGTAGTGGGTTGTATTTTGAGAATCCAAACCCTCCCCACATATAAAAGTGCAACACCCTCCCCACATTCAAGGGCAAGGGCAGGTTGGGTTTAGAACCCACATCTAATTTCTTGTTATTTATTGTCATGTATAAGTAATAAATAAATAAAGTAACACAAATACACATCAAAATTTCCAATTATTTGATTAAGGCATATAAAAGACACATAAACTACCAATCATCCTTCATGTAAAATTCAAAATGTTATTAAATACAAGACCTAGTAAATAAAGTTTATATGCTTTCCAACAATATGTGGGTTGGGGCAGGTCAAGTTTTGCCTAATACTATGCCCTACCCGTACCCGTACAGGTTGTAGAATCCAAAAACTTGTCGTTCAAGCAAAAAAGCCCACCCCATCAAGGAAGGTAGGAGCCGGTACCCATCGGGGTAGGGTAGAAATTGCCATCCCAAGGCCCTATTTACTTTTCGGGATGTTTCTTACCCAGGTAAGTGTTTCCTGGGAAATATTTACCCGGATAAGTGCATTTATCCTTGTTCTTTTATTTCTTAGGTAAATAAGAAAATTACCGTTTTAATTATAAAAACCATTATTAAAAGGGGCAATTTTATACTATCTAAGTGTTAACAACTTCCCCCCCCAAGTGGGAAAATTACTTACCCACCTGGAGTATGAGTATCACTAAAATAATATTTTCATAGACGCCACATAAATTTGATAAAAGAACATGGGGAGATGTTCCCAATGCACGGGGGTAGTGTTTTGTGGGTAGGTGTGGGCAAAATTGTCATGGGGAGGAAATAGATCTAGAGTCTAGTCGTACCGTTCGGCCTAAGAACCATCCAAACAACTAGTTCTGTTTAATCGAGTCCTTGGCCAAAAACTATTGATTTGACTAGTACTTGTTCACTGGGGTAGTCGGACTGTTGATCCATTCAACGGTTTTGACTATTTTTTATCTTAATTTTTAAGTTGGAATAGACCATCAATTCGAATAGGATGGTCAAACCATCAACCCGAAACTGGTAATTAGAATGGTTCCTGTTCCGGGTTGATTTTTAAAACGTTGGTTCAACCATCTGTGTTGAAAGATTGTTGACCGAAACAAAAATTTGTTTTGGTAAAATATTGGGTTAAAGATAAATTGGGACCAGAATCATGAACACATCACCGTGTCATCGGTCCAAAGGGACAGGCCAACAGGGGTCGGTCCTGTTTTTTCCTTGGGGATGGAATTTGTACACTGACGTGAAAGAGAAAGAAAGAGGTTCTTCCGTATAACATATCCACTGGGAGAAAAAGGAGGGCGATCATGAATAAGACTTGCGGCTCGGTCCTTGCCCTCCAATTCTGACCTGATTCTTGGCGCTGAACCGCTGGCCGCTCTGATTCTGTCCCGCCCAATGGCCGCGGGCCTCCTGGGCTGGAGCCACGTCGAAAGCGATCTTTAATACCCAGTTGAAAAGATCAAGAGTTCCTGAAACGCCCAAGACAAACCGACTGATTGGAAGACGTGTCACGTCGACGTCTACGTCACACCAGCCCGCTCTAGAAGCGTGTCAAGCGGTCAAATGCCAGTTGTTTTCTCTTCACGAGATTCCATGATTTCCCTTTCCCTGAACTGTCCTTCTCTTTCGACCAAATTTACATTCTCATTTTTACCTCAAATGTCTAAAATGCCCTCTTATATTATTGTCACTATCACTATCTATTGCTATCCTAAAAGGGCATTCCCGTCTTTACGAAGATCACGACAAGTGTGGAGGCAAAGCTGTAATTTGACCGAAGAGTAAGGTGCTATATCACTTGCCGTGGATAATTCAGCCACTGGCGATTTTGGTTCCACGTCATATAAACGGTATTCACGATTCACGAAAAACAGTTTTCTAGGTGGTTTTTCTAACTTTTTAATATTATTTTATTTTTATTTAACTCTTTCCATATCATATTTTATCGCCTAAGAAATTTCGGCTTATATAATGATTCAAATTAGGTTTGTTGCTTCATTCTCAAGAACCGCTGTTTTAGAATCTTCTATGTCGGTTGATGGCTCTGGACAAGAAGATATAGGCTCTAGATTAGAAATTCCAATCCAACAAGAAGAAAACCTATATTGTACTTCTATATCTAGACTATAAAGCGGGTCAGCGACCATTGTTTTATCATTCCCAACCCGTGTTCCTCACGGGCCACGGCCAAGAGAGATATCTTAGAGGGTTTGCGCGACGACCGCCTTTACTCTCCATAAAACCCGATCGTCGGTCGCTTCAGGGTTTGTATACTCCTGTCTCCTGAAAATAATTGAAACCAGAGATTCGTTGTTTATTCTCTTTTTCAGCCTGTTGGTAGCCATGGGAACTGCTGTTCTCCGCTCTGAAGATTGTCTCAGAGATCGGATCCCCTTTGAAACACTAACGTCGCCTGTGATCAGACCTCGCCGAAACCCTAACCCTAACTCTGGCACTAACATTAGTCCTAACTCTTCGCGGAACCGCCGCAGAATGCGCAATCCGTCGGGGTCTCTCGAGAAGGAGAACGGTAACGGTCGATGCGGAACGAATGTTGTGAAGCCTCCGGCTAAAACTCTTGTCATGGGCCAAGTAACTATCTTGAAGCGTGGGGAGGAGTTGAAGCCACCGAAGGTCGATGATGCTGTGGAGGAAGTAAAAAAGGAAAACGATGTTGATTCGGTTTTATGTTCGACAAATCGTTTGGGTCCGGAGCCTGAAATGGTTCCGAAGCAGATCCATCTCACAGACGCGAAGGCAGCAGATGGGGATGTGTTTGCAGGCTCGGTTTTTGCCTCTTCGCCTCCTCCGAGTTCCCTACCTTTCCCTGCCTTCTTCACCAAGAAGGGCGCACCTATGAACAACGATTTGGCGACAAATGATCTGCGAAGACTTCTGCGTCTCCACTTGTCGTGATTGTTGTTCGAGATCAAGTTTGTCGGCCTTCTACACTGTTTACTCGTTGGAATTAGTGGCCTGTTGATGGATCTGATAGTCCGAAACTTTCGTCACTGTCGATAGCTCCGCTTGTCGGGCTTCCTTTATTTTTTCAACAGGAAGCCCGATTTGTACGGGAGCTAAGGAAGCGATTAAAGTGAAGCACTGCAGTAGCGCAGTATCTCTTCCACTCTCAGGGTGACATATGATTATATGTCTCTGGCACAAATTCTAACCTTTAGTTATTTTTTTCTCCTTTTGTGACCCTTCTCACTCTTTCATTCCAGTTAACTATAGGGTTTCATGTTCATGTATATCTCGTATAGCCCAAATTTACCGATGACCGATGTAGTCTAGTTTGTTGGGATGTTGGTTAGTCTAGTTTTCTATGTCAGGGATAGGGTTTATATTTCTCTTTTTTATGCTTTTCTTGCAACTTCTTTGTGCTCTGCACTTTTTTATAGCTTTGAAGATGGTGAAAATTGAATACAGCCATTTTGAATAATTTTCCTCATCCAACTGATGACTGATATAGTTTAGTTTGTTGGGATGTTGGTTAGTCTAGTTTGCTATGTCAGGGATAGGGTTTATATTTCTCTTTTTTATGCTTTTCTTGTAACTTTGTGCTCTTTACTTTTTTATAGCTTTGAAGATGGTGAAAATTGAATACAGCCATTTTGAATAATTTTCCTCATCCAGTAGATATGCATCTCTTAAATTCTAAGTGATAATGAGATGCGAAAACATCAGATTCTGCAACAGGTTTGCGTGAGAGGAACTGGGGGGTTGCGTGTAGGGGTCATCGTAGCTCGAAGGAGTTGAGTTCGAGTCCATTGATTCTTGAATCAATTATTTAGTGCAGGGGTCCTTGTATCTAGCTTCCATGGGGACGATGATTTGGAAAGCATGCTGATTGCTGAATTCCTGATATTTTATCAGAAATCTCATCGGTGGCTATGTGGTGATCTGTATTCATGGTGCGAACCATGGAGGCATCCATGGGAGAGAAAAAATATGGTACTGGGTTCGAGAAGAAGATCCAATTGCGCAGATATTGGTATTCCTACTTTGTGTGGAAAAAAAAAGTGAAAAAACTGGTGGTTGCAACAGATGAGTGAGTTTTTGAATCTGGCCAAGCTTTTGGTTGAAAACAGAGTCTCCATTATTTCCTTCGATTTTGCCAAATCCCCTGTTATCTAGTTCACATTCTTGAATCAGAAGCGTTTTGATTGCAAATGTAGACAACACCAAAGTGCTTTGAACGTGTGGCAATGGGTCACGGAAGTCGTGTTTGTATGTCTGGATGGGTAGGGACAACATTTGGAAAATCCCAAAAGATACATTCCCGAAGGTTCTTCTATGTAGCTAATGCTAATACTAATGCAGCCAAGGATCTTGAATACAATAATAATAATGAATAATAATAATGCAGGCTATGAAGTGGTATGCATTTATTCAACAAACGCTGCTGTTAGTACAATAGCATTCCTCCATTATGTGTAGACTTGTAAAAGTAGATTTCGGTTTATGTATGTTTTTATGGTTAGGGGAAACTTCATTTTAATTTTTTTCATTATACAGTTAGTTTATCATTGTTTTTTTTTTTGGTTTTTCAAGCTTCATTTTAGCTTTTCTCATCACACAATGAGTTTATTATTGTTTTTTTTTTTGGTTTTTCAAATAAATCAAATACAAAACGTTTAGTCAATAAACTCCTACTATTCCAAACACATATTTGATGAGTTTATTATTGCGTTTCTTCTTTTTTCAAACGAATCAAACGAATCAAGTACTTTTAATCAAGGTTCAAAATATTGATGTCTGATAAGTAGGGGCATATCGGGTGAATCGGTACATTTCTTACTTTTTTCTTAATTTTTTTCAAAATTGGTTCAGCAGAGAGGTCCGGAACGACTGATACATAACCTTACATTTAATCAATAAACTCCAACGATTCCAAACATATATTTGATGAAATTAGATGATTTGTTTCAAGAAGTGTTTTGTATTTTTTTGTTTTTTTTTTTTACTCAAAACAAACAGACGTCACCTCTTCCAGGTGGTTGTCACACATAACCCCGTCCAGCTGAAATAAGACAGAGGTGCAATGAAAAGGTTTGTCACAGGAGGATGGAGTATTTAGCCTGCATTTGAATTATCTTATTTTACAGTTAAAATGTCCTATTTGTAACAAGATAAGTTCTTAAAATAAGAAGTGCCAAATGCAGCCTATGTTGGTCTAAACCATCAAGAAGCATTGTAAAACATACTTGCCTGGACGGATCGATGGGTCTCCATTGCAGGTAACCAATCCACGATTAGTTATTCTTGATTAGTAGCTGATAATATCCTTGCAACCTGAACTCTGTAGTCTGTATTCGTTGATCAAATTGCCATGATCAATTGGATTAGAGCTGGCATATTTTCGGAGTGTCTCCTTAGATTAAATAGCTTGAAATCTGGGGGAGCTCTTCCTTGAAGGCTTAGAAGCTTCTAATTTTTGTGGGGTGCATTTGGGGATTGTGCTAGCTATGCCTGCCATGTGCTCGCCGCACTTGCTACAGATTATCTTGCCGATGTCTGAGTGTGTTGAGATGAATTGGCACAATCAACTTTGATTCTGAAGCTGTTATCCGGTGGTTGTTGCCACCGTTATTACTCCTGGTCGGGACGTCTTGTGGCGGAGTTGAGAGAGAACTAGTTGGCCTTGTCTGAATAGTAAAATTCGTTGAGCTGAGCCAGAACCTGGAGATAAGAATACAACTATTGTAGATCAAGGGAGACTCCTTCACGCGTTTGCCAAGTTTGGCTCTGTCTTTAGAGTCAAAATTTATCTGGACCTCATATCCATCGGTATGTATTGCTTCCTTGTCAACAAAAAAACTTGTCTGTTATCAATCAACAAGACCAAAAAAAAGAAAAAAATCCTGGGTTATTGTTTTATGGTGTTTTTTTAGTTTAAGATTTCTTTCTTTTTTCTGTTTTTGGTTAAAAAATTCATTCAAGGATAGATGGGCAGTGAATTTAGAGAAAAAGAGAAGTAGATGAATGAACTAAGACCCATTTAAATTGATCTACAATCATGAATGAACTAAAACCCATTTAAAACTCCAGTTCCCTGACCTCCATCAACTTGACCACATTTGACCAGGCTGAGAAGCACGAGATGCAATTCCAGCCAATGAATGGCTATTACTGAAAACTGCTCTTCAAGCTGAGGATCAAGCTTCTGACCTTGTTGATGCTTCTCAAGTTCCTCAGAACATGGTTGAAACTCGAGGCACCATTGGTTGAAAGGAACCGCATCAACCTGAACATTTGCATCCTTCACAAATCACAAGGTCTCTCACCCACCAGCTCGTTGTAAAATTTGTCATTAAAAAGTTAAATAGAAATGAAATTTCTTTTATGTCATTACGTGAGAAACTTGTCCCAATAGAGGTTAGCTGCATTATCCCATTCAACCTTTAAAAAAATAAGAACTGCGTTATCCCATTCTCGTTAAAAACCTCAGATGCCAACATTTTGGTGATAATTGTTTAAGACTTGGTAAAAAAGAAAATAAGGGTGCATTTGGTTCAGTCAGAATTGGAATCAGAATGTCCTCATCCCAGGGAGAGGGGGAGAGAATGACCATTCCCTCAAATGGGGAATGCCATTCCACCCACCAAGAATAGGAATTAGATTCTGATCCCCCCAACCAAACAGATGGGTCCATTCTGATTCTGGTTCCGGACCTCTACTCCCACAAACCAAATAGACACTATTTCATAAATGATGCCAAAGGTTATTCAACCCACGCTTCACAAACAAGAAATAACATGAGAAGATACATTACAACACTTCTGCATCTTCATCTTAGGCATCTCTTTGGCTGAAATAAGAACCAAGAACACCATATTTCAGTATCCCACCAAACTAACTAGATTTTGGATTTATACATGAATATTTTTAATAAACTGTTATGGTCTTAATGCATAAGTGATGGAAAATTCTGGAGGACTCACCAAAATTATTATGTGCTSTTTCACTGCTACTAGGTTATTAACCGTATGGAGTCTGGTGGTAGGACATTTGATAATTTGGACATCATCCCCAACCCCAAGCAAGGACGGATGACATTTCTTGTGTTCCATGTGCTTCACCATCTCAAAGTGTTCAGAAATTTCTGGACCCAAAATTACCCGCTTCAGGATGACAACCTTCAATAGATTGTTTTTCCCCACCATTCTCTTCTGTTGTTTGATTGTTTTTGTCAATGTTTTTAAAATCGGACCGTTTTACCCTAAAACTGTTTTTTGGTCAAAATCCATTGATTTGGTCAGTGAATAATTGACTCAGGCGGTTGAATCATCGAATTGTTCAACCTGAGAACAGTTATTGACTGTTTTTTAATTTTTGTCAGAGCGGACCATCCGTTTGGATCAAATGGTCAAACCATTCAATCCGGGAATGGTTCCCTATCCAATCCGGTTTTAACAACCTTGGTTATTGGTGCTAACTTGTTGAAACTGCTCTAATCACCCTTTTCAGACTATAGAGAGGCCTTGAATTAGAGGATTTGGTTATATGTGGAGGAGAATTGGACGGTGGAGAAGGAAGAATCAATGGAGTTGAGATAGTCTACCAGCTTCTTCAGAAATCTCCCCTGCTTGTTCTGTTTGATGGGTTTATTCTGCACCCCTTAAAACTGTTTTCATCTCCATTACTTTCACCTGATTCTCTCTCTTCCAAGTATCACACTAAGATAATAGAAGAAAAGGAAAATATACTTACCTGAACGGGTCAATGGGTGATCATAAAGGCCCATGGACTAGACTTGCGACCTCCACTGCATTAGGGACGGGTGTTTGCCTAACATCTCCGCAAGTGGGAGAGTGTACGTCATTATTTGTGGCAGAGGGGGATACGCGTTCGCGTGGCCACTGTCAATCTTTTAGGTTCAAGTATTATATTTTTAGCATCAGGATCAGCATTTTTTATGCAAATCTGAATCTGGGCTATTTCTTTACAGTTCAAATTTATTGTATTGCATTTACAGAACCATCTGTCTGCTATCAGGGAAACAGGGAAGAAAACTTGCTTTTGGGGATTAGTGTCAACTGAAAAATCTGGCTTTTCCACATGTATTTGGTCAGGATTCAGGAATGAATCGGAACCTAAAAGTTAATGCATCCATAAAAAACTAAAGCTTGTAGTCATATAGCATCTATGCTGCAATTGCAGCATGTGCGGGTGAAAAAATGGTCTTTTTTTTATTGGGAATCGTTGCTGTCAGGTAAAGATGTTTCTTGGAGCAACAACTTTTTCTACTAGGTATCAATGCTCCAGTAAACGTTTTCTGTACTTCTACCCATTATCCAGTGCCACATCATTGCCCTATTGGCAGCAACGAACTGCAACTCCAGAAAATGTCAAATTTGGCATTGCTCTAAGCCATGCCTTTCTGATTTTTAAGGCATGACTTGAAGCACTGTTTTCTATAGAAAAACGGTTCCAAACAGATGGCTGTTTCCTGGAGCACCATTTTTTCTTACGTGGTGCTGATGTGACACCATTGCTTTAGGAAATGGCAATAATGCCAAATAGCTGCATAAAAGCTCCAAATTAATCATAACATGCTGATTTCTTAGAAAGTGTGAAATGTCAGCCACTAAAATTATAACTGATAGTTTAAGTTCCTAATCACTGCAA